TTGAAAAACAAAAGCCCCCCCCCCCCCCCCACCTTGCATAATCACTTTCCAAAGCCACACCTCCACCAAAACACATGAATGCACACAGGCAGACCAGAAGCTAACTAGCAACATGAGAGATACTCCTGCTGTCAGATTACTTAGTTTAATTCACTGGTTTAAAAAAAAAAATAATAATAATAAACATTTCAGTACAAAGCTCATATTATTACAATAACAACTTATTTCTTGCTCGTTCTGCAGTACCGTAATGGAACTCACTGATGGCGTATCATGTCTGCGAGAACGGTGCATGGAAATATGCAAATACATACATTGACAGGCAGGTTGGAGAGCCTATTGTAGTTCTCGGACCGAGGGATATGATTGGACGAACATTTTATGGTCCTACGCCTTCCACAGATGATATAAATACATATAGACCACTTAACTTAGTGATTGCTATCAGGATGTGAAGAGACTTTCAACCAGCATAACAAAAAATGTTTTTGAACCAAATCACCTACCCTGCATAAAAGAGTTTCTGGTAAATTATGAATAATTTATCAACAAACCAATAAGCTTAATTGTTAGTTACAGTGTTTAATTAGTCACCATCAAATTGCATCCACAAACTATTTTACCTCCATAAGCTTAAGTATTTCTGATCCAAAAGAGACCAAAGTAAAATACCAAAAGAAAGGGAGTAAGATATATAAAAGAAAAAAAAAAGCCAAACAGGTCGAATGTCCTCAACACTCACCTCTGAATGAGCTCCAGGGTGGTGCTGGCTGACTCCTCGTACTCGATATTAAAAACGTAGAAGCACCCAAAGAACACAGACAATGCCGCTGCAAAGTCCAGCTGGTCGTCTAAAGAATGTGTTACTCTGCCCTCAATACTGACAAACCACTTGGTTGAAGTCAGCAATGTCTCACCTGAAATATGAAAAATGACTATAAATATATGTCCAAGTAAAAAACCTACCATTTGTATTGTAGCAATGTCTTACCAAGCATGATGAGCCGGGGCGTTGCCGGTAAGCTCATTTCATTTTCGATGGACGTCTTGGTAGAGTTTTCCTTCAAAGCAGAACATCAAAACATTTTAACACTCAAGCTTTGTCAAAACCCCTTCGAAACTTAAGTAGAACTGTAACATTTCATAGTTACTGACATCTGCTAAGATGAACACCGCGTTGTCCTTTTCCTTAAAGTATTTCATCATCAACAGGATGGCTGACATGGCAGTCTTGTTATTATCTGTTGCATTGGCGGCATCGATCTCACTTAGCATACTCTGGATCTCTTCACTCCACTTCAGTCTCTGTCTGCTGAAATAGTTCAGTATTCTCTTGGATTTAACAAAAAGAGTTTCGTTAAAGCGGCTTCTGATGTCAATCCCAGTCAGGATTTTGAAGTGCCTGCAGAGGCCTCTTTCGGTGAACAGGAACGGCCAATGCCCCTCAAGCTCACTGATGGTAGGAGGGGGGCATGAGTTGATCATGTGGCGCTGGTAAACATACGTCTGCTGCATTAAGTCATCTACGTTGGGCAACTCGGCAGCCTTTGGGCCTGCAGACTGAAAAATCTCTGCCGCAACCTTCCTCTTCATTTCAAGAGATTCTGCCGTCTCTCCTTCTGGGATGGAAGATGGCTGCCAATTGATGCATCCGTAACTGTCCACTTTACATCTGACTTTTGTCCTCATGTAGTTGTCCTGTAGTCCAGGTCTTTTCGCTGATGGTCTTCTAGGTCGACGAATCCTGTGTTCCATAACATCTCTATTCACATGTTCTACCCTAGTTTTTAGTTGTCTTTGTAAGCAACTGAAGCCATTTCCTAGTTGTTCTCCTTCCTCAGAAATGTCTCCGAATGTCAGGGGATATGCAGACACGATGTTTCGTGCCACTTCCCCACAAGCGGCTAAGTTTGGGTTTGGACAGTGGGCTTGCATGGCTGCCACCACGATCCTAACAAACTCCCTTCTCGGTCCTGGTCGAGCTCTCTCTCCAGTGGACGTGGCCTGAGCGAGAGCTGCTGGCATGCGGTTCCAGGGAACCTGGAAACTTCTGAGCCAGTTGGACTTGATGAATGAAGGAATGAAGGGCTGTTCAGGAAGGGACTCGTTTGATGATAACGGAGTGAGCATCATCTCGTTAGGTGTTCCATCCACTTGACCGTTGGATTCTTGAGGGGGGAAAAATCATTAAAAGATACAGAGAAAATGAAATATGTTGATGGGCCAATAAGGTACCCTCTTCAGAGGCCTCAACCATCATACAGAAAATATTTTGAAAAAAAAAAAAAAAAAATCCACAACACATGCATGTGCACATGAATCTGCTTATAATCTCATTCTAATGTGAATGAATTGAGTATGCTAAATAAGTGACCATGTGCCCAAGGTTAGTTATTTTGCATAAAACACACTCAAAGCATCTCTTTATAAGGGATTTCGGCACAATCTTTCATCTGGCTCAGCAAACACATGACGCTTTCTGAAGACACACTCTCACCTGAGAGCATGTGCAACAAGATGTATACTTTAGTATATGAATATGATACTCTTTTAATACCATGGTACACTACTGTTCAAAAGTTTGGGGTCTGTATGATTTTTTATTTTTGCAATTAGTCTCTTATGCTCAGCAAGGCTGCATTTATTTTATCCAAAATACAGTAAAAGAGTAATATTGTGAAATTTTATAACAATTTAGAATAACTTTTCTATTTGAATGTATTATAAAATGTAATTTATTCCAGTGATGCAAAGCTGAATTTTCATCAGTCATTACTCCAGTCCTCAGTGTCACATGATCCTTCAGAAATCATTTTGAAAAATTATATTTTATTCATGTTATGCTATGTCTTCTGTAGAAGACACCAGTACTCAGTTTTCCTAAAAAGTAAAAAGACATGAATAAACATAAAAAGGCAAAAACAATGGGCCATCCTTAAAACCCATTTCAAACACTTTTTATACACACAACCAGATTACAGACATATGAATATCATTGCTTTTATGAAATATCAATGTATAAAATTTCATCTAACACGTTTTATAGCACCACCTAGAGAAGACGATTTTTGTGTAGTTCCTACATTTTTCCATGAATTTAGAATACATTTTTGTATTCAAGTTATTGATGAATCATGATTTTGTTCGTGAAAATGTTTGTACATAGACATCACACACAAATTTGTGCATACACAATGAGACCCATTATTTTAATTGCTCTGAATTCTGAATAAATTTGCTTAGTCTAAATACATTTCTTGGAACATCAGTGTGTAAATTGACTCTCTACAAGCTCTGAAGAGAATACAGATGTGGCCTTTGAAAACTTGTGAAAGAGAAAGATCTTGTAATTTCATGCAATGTCACACAATGTTAGGCAGCATGGTATGTCTCAGTCAGTGTTAGAAAAGATGTGTTGAAATGCAAATATCCAAGGACATAATTTTTATTTATTATATTAAAATTTAGTTAAATAAAAAATTGTCCTGGCCATTCCAAGCTCGATCATTGCAGTCAGCGGGTGTTGCAGTGCTTCAGTCCAAAAGAAGTGAAATAAAAAGCATCCATCCATAATAAAAAGTTCCTCACACGGCTCCGGGGGGTGAACAAAGGCCTCCTGTAGTGAATCGATGCGTTTTTGTAAGAAAATATCCATATTTAAAATGTAATAATCACTTTAATATTTTATTCAGAATACAACATAGATGACATATCAAATGTTTAAACTGAAAAAATTTATAATTTTAAGGGAAAAATAAGTTGATTTTAAATTTCATGGCATCAACACATCTCAAAAAAGTTGGGACAAGGCCATGTTTACCACTGTGTGGCATCCCCTCTTCTTTTTATAACAGTCTGCAAACGTCTGGGGACTGAGGAGACAAGTTGCTCAAGTTTAGGAATAGGAATGTTGTCCCATTCTTGTCTAATACAGGCTTCTAGTTGCTCAACTGTCTTAGGTCTTCTTTGTCGCATCTTCCTCTTTATGATGTGCCAAATGTTTTCTATGGGTGAAAGATCTGGACTGTAGGCTGGCCATTTCAGTACCCGGATCCTCCTTCTACGCAGCTATGATGTTGTAATTGATGCAGTATGTGGTCTGGCATTGTCATGTTGGAAAATGCAAGGTCTTCCCTGAAAGAGACGACGTCTGGATGGGAGCATATGTTGTTCTAGAACTTGGATATACCTTTCAGCATTGATGGTGCCTTTCCAGATGTGTAAGCTGCCCATGCCACACGCACTCATGCAACCCCATACCATCAGAGATGCAGGCTTCTGAACTGAGCGCTGATAACAACTTGGGTTGTCCTTGTCCTCTTTAGTCCGGATGACATGGCGTCCCAGTTTTGGCACAGCGAATGGCACGGTGGATTGTGTTCACCGACAATGATTTCTGGAAGTATTCCTGAGCCCATGTTGTGATCCTCTGCCCAGCTTGACTTCTGAGAGACACTGCCACTCTGAGAGGCTCTTTTTATGACTGCATTGATAGAGCTTGGAATAACCAGGATATTTTTTTATATAACTCCGACTGGATTCGTCTGAAAGAAGAAAGTCATATACACCTAGGATGCCTCGGGGGTGAGTAAAACACAGCCTAATTTTCATTTTTGGGTGCACTAACCCTTTAAAGAGCAATTTATTATTTCAGCAATAAATGCGGAAATAGCACAATTAGAAAACTGGAGACAAAATTTGCATATACTTTTTACTGCTCCAACTCAAAACTTATTTTAAAACATTAGGAAAAGATTCATCAAAATGTTATCAAATTTGGGAGCATAATAGATTTATTGTCAGATCTGCTGATATGTATAACAAAAAACTGATACAAGAGGCTGTGTTTACACTGTTAACTGTGAATTTACAAATTTAAAAAACAAGATTTAATATTTGATACTTTCATATGATGAAAGTAGTAATAATATTCTCAAACAAATTCAATGATGAACACTACTTTGTACGTCCACTCCAGTGAACATGACCCATTTTAGTTTTAGTCCAAAATTCTACATTTAGACCTGGTTTACACCTGATATTAAGATCCATCTTTGTTCATACGATCACAAGTGGACAACTAATACAGGTGTAAGTGGGGTCTGAAACATTAAACTTGTCCACTTTTCACCACTTCTAGAGGTAGTTGAAAATACATTTGACCGAACTACTTTCATAGCATAAACGTTAATGTGTTCGAATACGTTTGAAAAGCCACTAAAGACAGGTCTCCTTTTACATTCATAAGCAAAATGCGTGAGCTTATTACACAATATTGGATCAAAAGATCAGAAAAAGCCCACACAGGCACCCGCCCACAGACCCTCCCTGAAATCAAGAAAGTGGACGAAAAGAGAGATTAAAACAGCCTGCTTGTGATCGGATCGACCAAAACATCTTAATACCAGGTGTAAACAGGGCCTTAGATACCTCATTTGCAATTCATTGGACATTTTTCAGAGTCAAATGATTGGAAAGGGGGTGTTTTGAAAACTGGGAATTAATTGCAGGGGGCCCAGAGCTATTGGGGGACCCACAAGGACCCCCTGCAACTTTTTGTTGCAGATACCCTAAAAAAAAAAAAAGGTACTGTACAACGACCCCAGAAAACCTAGCAACATCACTAGGCAGAAATGAAAGTAATAGTGAATTTCTGAGCTATTACAGTAGCCTACCATGTTTGAGGTATAGTGCAAAGGCTTTAAAAAAAAAAAAGCGGGAAAGTGAGTCGTCTCTTATGCTGAAGTTCATTAAGCCGATCCCTTATCATCTTCCAGTCATGGGGTGTAGAGTTGGGAAATTTCCGGCAAACTATTTCTGCTATTGCTTTCCGCAGGTTGTTAGGTAGTGCATTTTTTCCTCGGGAGCCATCAAAGTTAACAGCACCTGACCATTCCCTGTAAACTTCCTGTGGTACTAGACTTTTAAACAGAAGCACAGCAAAGCGTTCGGGCTTCGGTCTCCCGTTTTTTCCAGCTGATTCTAGGTAGATTTTTTTCTCTTTCTTCAAGGAAACTGGATTTAAACACATGTCAGGTAGAATCACCCCCTGATGACTAGAACGGTGAACATGATGCCGGGAACTTGATGTTTTTGGAGATTCTGGCAGTTTCAAATCAAACGGAGACATCGCTGAAGAACACTGGGATGATGTACTGGATGGAGCTGACATTAAAAACATAAGATGTTTGATCAGATGTTGAAATCACAGTTTGTGGGCTGTGAGTTTGGTCTGTCTATGATGTTGAACCCGCTGAAAGAGTGTGATCAGGATCAGAATTAATTTTCTTGAATGACTGCTGGTACAAAGTACAGGCCATAGAAGATGAAGAGGCTGCAGACACGTCACCTGAAACAACATACAGCTTATGTTGTTCTAAATACAAACAACCAAATTAATGGTCATAAAATGCCTTCCAAGTTTACCTAAAAAGGGTATTAAGATTGTTAAAATAACTTTTTAATCAGTAGCTACATTAACATTCACACAAGGCTATATTCTACATTAATCCGGATACATTTGAAAATGGCGTTTTCATTTTAAAATGCTCTCTGTCCACACTAGCATTTTCCAAAAGTTTCTCATCCACACTGAAACGCCACAAACATTTAATTCGCTTTACTGCGCATTTGCTTTAAAGGCGCAAAAAAGCTCACCGAGACGATAAAGATGGAATAGACATGACACGTTTTCATGCAACTCTTCTGGCAGGATAATTTTATTTAGGAAAATATCTCACCATTCACTGACGTGTTCAGGTCGCACTTACTCACGATTGTATGTCTGATACAAAATGCAAACAGCAATCGCGAGTAAATTCTCGGTCATCTTTGCAGGACTGTGATATGAAGAGTGTACAAACATATCTGTTGCAATAGTGTGAATGTGAATAGCACATAACAGGGACAATATTGGTATAATAAACATAGATATCTATTGGTACAACATGTCACATGACTAAACATGCGCCATTGTTTTCAAAAGCCTCCGTTTTCACAGTCCACACTACAATGCGAACACGGCATTTTTTTCAATTTATCCACTTTAGAGAATGTTTTCAAAAAGCTCAGTTTTCCTTGACAAAAACGCTATCTCAGTGTGGACAGAAGGCCAAAACTGAGAGAAAAAAAAAATGTTTCAAATGAAAATACATTAGCGTGGACAAGGCCCAAATAATCCGTTAGCAATCGTATCGATGTCTCAATCAGACTGAAAAGACTTGGAAGACATTTAAACACCTTAATGGATCAGATTAAGCTCAATCCAAATGAAATTTCAATCGGATTTGAAGGGGTGGTGTAGACCTTTTCTGATCCAATCGAGAGGACATGTAAACACTTGAAAACCGAAACTTAAAAGTACTGTGCATGTGCAATGACATAGAAATGGCGTAATGACAAATGGAACGAGCGGTTGTATTTGTAGAATGAAGTGTCATAAATAACTGTCATGTTATTCTAAAATTCATGAAAAAAAACTCACTTTATACTCTCATCCACAGATGGCTTGTTTTGGCCATGGGTATTAGCGATTTTACTGTTTGATTAATAATAGCAGCATGGCACAAAGCTTCACATGCTCTTCGTCTCCTAATTAGGACCCGCAATAGATAAATATTAAGTCTACTCATTAAAACAAAAAGAAGCAATAGCAGGAGAATAGTATGTATGAACAGCGGAAAACTGTATATTTGAGCAAAAGATCAAATCTGATATTGATGCTTGTTCAATTCAATTCAAGTTTATTTGTATAGCGCTTTTCACGATACAAATTGTTGCAAAGCAACTTTACAGAAAATGCAGTTTCTACAATACATTTAGAAGTAGCTTGTCAGTGGTGACTATGTCAAATTGATGTACATACGGCAGAAATGTACGGTAAAATTCAGTTAATGACGTAATCAAACAGACGATGAATATTGCAGATCAACTGACCACTTTACTTAGCGTCCCTGTAAAAACTACATTCAGAATCCTCAATCAGAATTATATTAAATTCCGATTAAAACAAAAGGTGTCCATGTAAACGTAGCTAGTGTCACTTTACATAAATACAAAAATTACATTATAGTTTAATGAGTATAATTATTATAATCATCATCATTATATCATACGACCATCTCTTCATAGTTAATGTAGCCACAAATGTGAAATTTCAAACAGAATTACAGCACCTGTATTAAGCAAACCACAGATATGCTTTGCATTTCAAATCAGCAAAGTATTAAGCCTAGTTTAGTGCATTGGTTGATTAGGTGGACCTCCTTTGTTGCTACCAAGAACACATCTTGACAGATTAGCATATACAATATCGTGATTTTGGACCCAGTTGACTCCTTTATTTAGCACTGACCACTTATGATTGATCACTCATGGTGCATCTTAACGCCAGGTGTAAATGGGGTGAGATTTGGCCATTTGAACATTCAAACAGCACAAAACGGTGCTCTGACGACATTGCACACCCCCATTATCACCTCAGAGACAATGACACACCGTCCCCCAATTCTGTGACAAAGACATTAGATATGCATGCACAAGAGATACCTGTAAATCCACTCTAAACCCATTAGCTGAATTTGAAGGAAGGTTGGCTGACCAAATGCGCCTGTAAGAGTTGGTTTTAAAAACAAAAAGTCTGTCCGACCACTACTGTTGTGTGAAGGCACCTGGAGAAAAAATGTTTTCAAAGGCCACACCTGTAGGTCAAAGTCTCTCAATTCAGTGTCCACATGGGCCAGTTGTGCAAAAGGGGTAATAAATGTGAACACCCCAATTCTTTAAAGTGGGTATCAAAGTGAAGTGCAAGACAAGGCAACACCATACAGTGAGCAACAGGCACTTGTTTTGTGGCCACAAGTTTGTTTCTTACCTCTTTGTTTGAATGTTTTCACAAGTTTTCGACACTGTATTGGCTCCAGAAAGTCCTGAAGATCGGACACCTCTACTAGGGAAAGGTCCTCGGTCTTCTCCACACCCACCACTAATGAAAGATGATTGACCACTTTCTGAAGTTTGTTTAGGTCCAACTCTGGGATAATTTTTTTAATTTCCTCTTGGACTGTGCCTGTAGGGGGTTGGAAAGATCACACAATGAGGGTAAGTTTCAACAATAAGGACTAAGCTTAAACCAAATGTAATTTTAAATAAACTTGTTTACAAATAACTACGGTTACATTTAAACATTTTGGATTGAATTTTTTCAGTTGCATCTGTTATTTCCAATGTCTTATACACATCACCTGCCACTTGCATGTTTATTACATTTTTGATGGTTTATTACATATTGATATGATTTTTAGCTACTGTAAAGAATGTTGCACTCTTGTTTAACATATTTAAATCCATTCTGCACATTTCCGGGGAAAAAAAAAACAGTGTTATCTTTCCACAACTTTTGCAGTCTACAACAGTAGGGTTTCATAATGGTACAGTAATTTACTAATCATTTGCTATTCGTTAGCCGTTTGCATGGTGATCAATCACGTAAAATGCGCATAATGCATACAGTGTATGTGTATTTGATCATACTTCTGATGAGGTGATGACCGATTAATAAATGAAGTTCTCTCTCTGCATACCTTTCAAACTTTGATTATCTTGGTCTTCCTCATTTATTCCTGAAGAGCAGTCTTCAAATGCCTCCTCCTTGATCATGATCATGTCCGGTTCTTCTTCCAGCAAGTTTACTGGCTAAAGGATTGAAAATAAAACAGAGCTTGTTTTTGAACTCCATATACATAAAACAGCAGGATGTGAGACCAACCTCTCCTATGATGACTGGAGAGTCCAGATGTGTGTCCTGCTCACCAGCATGCGACTCCTCGTGTCTCCAGAGGTTCATGCACCATTCCTTACCAAAGACATTGTCAATTGCAGGACGATGTCCAGTGTCTGTTGAACATGTGGGCATTAGGTGGGTATAGAGTCAGAGGCACAACGTGGCTGCTAGAATCTCCAGCTTTAAAGCATCAGTCCTTTAGCGCCCCTTTTTGCATTTAACATCAGTATATCTACACATGTCAGTTTGTGCATGTGAAAAGACTTGAATATTAACGTTACGTTACCTGTAAGTCCCGGATGGTTGAATGGAGCTGGTGACCCGTTCATCTTTCCAGCGCTTTTCCGTGCTGACTGAAGTTCGTTCTCCAGAAAATGACATTTCTTTTTCAGAGATTCATTTTCGCTTGTAAACCGTGTAAACTCTAATCGCAGAAAAGACGCATTCTCCTCCAAAAGTTTGCTTATTTCCACAACAGCCGTTTTCGCTAACGTTTCCATTATGGCTGTCAAGTGTGTCTGAAATTCGGCGGTATTCATGATGTCCATCTTTTACGGGACACTTTAAAGATATAAATACTCGCCCTTTGGCCCGGCAACGCTATTAATGTCTTAATATAGATGTTTATTTCTACCTCAAACAATGGCGTTGCGGTGCCTTTGGTGTTTATGTAGATATAAACAAAGCATAGCGTTTGGCAGAAAAGAATCATGGGATAAATTACCGTAAACCACCGTGTAGATGTTTCTATCCGATAGTTCACCAGAATACCGTCGTCTCGGTTTACTAGAGCAATGTTTGACTGCTCCAAAACAAAACCCTTTTAAACCCGCATGAAATGGATGAGATTGTGACGCATTTCCGTGCAAAATGGCTTGTCAAATACAAAAGGTGGGATCAGTGTTGAAGTTGCTAAAGGAAGGTTGATTTGTTGCTAAAAGTTGCTAAATGATATCGCCATGTCATTGTGTCACTGCATCAAATTTGAGCAAAAAAATGCATTTTATGAATGAAGAGTTCAGATGCAAAAGCCTCTAAGTGCCATCTGAAAATTTCTTCTAAAATGTGCATTTTTATCAGGCTCCTATGTTTAGGTTCAGAAATGTCACTTTAATGGCAATGTATTGGTCCTTTTCTATGCCATCAAAGTGAAATAAATGAACATAAACATGCTCATTTTAGAAGACGTTTTCAGGCTTTTGCATCTGAACTCTTCATATGTTAATTTAGATGTGTTTATAAAATAAAATAAATGCATAATATAATATTAAAATACAAATAAGTAATTATAAATACAACATTGAATTTAACACGTGCACATTTCTGAACGATTACTATTTAAGTTTATTTGCTAGTGAACTAGTAGTTTGACTGCTCCAAAACAAAACCCTTTTAAACCCGCATGAAATGGATGAGATTGTGACGCATTTCCGTGCAAAATGGCTTGTCAAATACAAAAGGTGGGATCAGTGTTGAAGTTGCTAAAGGAAGGTTGATTTGTTGCTAAAAGTTGCTAAATGATATCGCCATGTCATTGTGTCACTGCATCAAATTTGAGCAAAAAAATGCATTTTATGAATGAAGAGTTCAGATGCAAAAGCCTCTAAGTGCCATCTGAAAATTTCTTCTAAAATGTGCATTTTTATCAGGCTCCTATGTTTAGGTTCAGAAATGTCACTTTAATGGCAATGTATAGGTCCTTTTCTATGCCATCAAAGTGAAATAAATGAACATAAACATGCTCATTTTAGAAGACGTTTTCAGGCTTTTGCATCTGAACTCTTCATATGTTAATTTAGATGTGTTTATAAAATAAAATAAATGCATAATATAATATTAAAATATAAATAAGTAATTATAAATACAACATTGAATTTAACACGTGCACATTTCTGAACGATTACAATTTAAGTTTATTTGCTAGTGAACTAGTAAAACGACTCATTCTGAACAATTAAACAGTGTATTAGTAGTTCGTATGCTACACTCGAAGAAAAGTCTGTAAAAATAGGGCAAAATCTACTAATATGAAGGAATTTCCCGTAATTATTATTCACAGGTTTTTTTACCTACATTTTAAATTATGCATTGTAGTTTGTGTTTTCGGGTTACAGGGTGATAATGGATAATGTCCTGGAAAATTACTAGTACCTTTTTCATTTTTCGTATCGCGCACTAACTGATCAACAATCTCAAGTACAAGCTACTAACAAGGTGTATCATAAATGAACAATTATTCAATTATTGTTATTATTAAATTAAACAATTGCAAATAGAAGCTAACTTAATTCACGTGATGTGTGTACTGCTAGGCACCTTTGGTTTCCTCTTTTTGTGTAATTTAGATGGAAAATGTGTGCCTTTTTTATCGTTTGAGTCACTTATCAAAATTTGCCAAATACATTTTTTTAAATAGCTAAATTTGTTGCTAGGTGCTTTTGGAAGAAACAGTTGCTGGGGTAGTCTGAAAAGTTGCTAAATTTAGCAACAAAATTACTAAATTGGCAACACTGGGTGGGACTGGTTGTTCACTGGATTGAAAACTGGGCGTTTATCGGCCTTGCATACGTCAGGAGAGATTTTAATTTCATTTGAAAGATTACGATGTCAAAAGTGTTATTAATTATTTATGTCCACCTTACTGATGGGCCTCTATCACACAACCAATGATTGGAGCCATTGCTGTCTATTCTACTTTATGTTGACCAACTGCAAAGCTCATACTGTAAGCAGACTGTGATAAAGAATTGGGTAACATTTTATCTTACGGTGTCCTTGTTACACATATCATATGTACTTACTCTGATAATAACAATAAATTATGCATAATTACATGCAAGTAAACCAATCCCTAATCCTAACCATATATAAGTACATGTAGTTAATTAATATAAATGTATAATTACACTATAACAAGGACACATTTGTAACCAAGAATTGCAATAAATTGGACAAGAATTGAAGTGTGCTGTTTGGTTATCCTGTCTCAAACATGCTTGACAAGAGCACAGTTATAAAATCAGTTGAAAATCTAATATGTAAAGTTTAAACCACATGGTCCAACTGCATGAAAATATGGTGAGGTCTTTAAAATGAAAGAGAATAGAATAAAATTGAAAGTTTTCATGTGAATTTTATTGTGAAAGGCAATTGCTTCAAATGAAGGATATTTCTAGATAAATATGACGATTAATATAAATATGCTTAAACATTTGATGATCTGTTTGAGTCAAAAAGGTACTACGTATTTGTAAGAATTCACACATTGATACAAAAAAAAACTAATATTCAGAAAACTGTTAAGTAGATAAAAAACAATGGTGCAATGTAAAATATTTCAGGGAGGGCAAAGGGTAAAAGTAAAAATATCAAGTTACCAAGGTTAGGTAACAAAAAGTTACAGCATGAACAAATCCATAGTTCCTTTTCCTTTCCCAAAGTAATAATTATAATAATTTATGCATTTAGCAGACAAGCGACTTACAATGCATTAAGGCTATACAATTTTTACCAGTATGTGTGTTCCCAGGGAATCGAACCCACGACCTTTGGCGCTGCTAACGCAATGCTCTACCACTGAGCCACAGGAGCACAAGTCTCAGAAAACTACACACAAGAACACATTTCACAATGTTTACAGTGTTTAAACCATAACATATTGCCTGTAATCAATGGAAATTACTATAAGAGGGGACTGTTTAGTGTTAGTGCGCAGATTTATTTATAGTCATTATATTGCACATGTAAACAAACAACCAGCATTTTTGTCTACTCTGACTTTTTTTTCCCCTAATTTATTTTTTTTAACATTTATTTTATAACAACAGATAAGAAGGATATTCTAAAATGACCTAGACAAAAGTTTTATACTAAAACTAAGGAGACAATATGCAGTAGCAATTTATTTCTGGTTTAACATCGGTGTGTTCTAAGCGCAATTTTGAAGGCGTAGCTTTTACCACAGTGTGAGCAGCTATATGGCTTTTCTCCGGTGTGGCTTCGGAGGTGTACATTAAGAGAAGATTTTTGAGAAAAGCTCTTTCCACACTCCATGCACGCGTACGGCCTCTCACCAGAATGAGTGCGCTCGTGAGTTATGAGATATGTTTTCTGAGCAAACCGTTTACCACAAACTGTACAGACGTAAGGTTTTTCTCCAGAGTGTTTTCGCATGTGTCTTGTCATGTGGCTTAAATACTCAAAGGTTTTCCCACAGAACACACACTTGAATTTCTTCTTTGGAGTAACTGTCCCATTGAAATTCAGGTTATTAGGAATAAATCCCACATCAGGGCTCAGAACTGACCCTGCTGTGATGTGTCCATGTGTAGCTCCATCAAGAGCTTGTTCTTCAGCTGGTGTCTGGTGCACGTTCAATTGGACTTGGTCATCTGAAGGTACTGTGTATGTGATAAAATCTTCAGAGCTTTGGGCAACACATCTCTCATCACTGGTCACTGCAGATCCTGTAATTTAATAAATGAAACATGAACATCTGAATATAATAAAAAAAAGTTAAAGGGATAGTACACCCAAAAATGAAAATGTGCTATTAATTTACTCACCCTCTGGCCATCCAAGAAGTAGGGGCCATTTTTTCTTCAGTAGAACAGTAAAAAAGTTTTTTAAGCTGAAACAATGGTGATTCATAAAATGCACATCAATGGCTACCGCCACTTTGAGAGTCAAAAAAGGCATATGTGGAAATGCAAAATGAATACCTGTGACTCCTGGCAATATATTAAGGTCTTATATGAAGCAAAACGATTAATCTGTGTAAGAAAATGTACATTATTTGCAACATTATAGCCTCAGGTTATACAGGGAAGTCTGATTCTTTTCCACAAACTGGTTGTTTTGGACAGTTTGTTTTAATGAGCTGGTTCAAATAATTGATTCACCAGCTCGTTTATGTATGTTATTAAAGCGACCAATAATGATGTAAAACATGGATGAAAAAAAAAAAAGCATATAAAGTCAATGACCTAGTCTTAACTCACCTTTTTATATAAACAATAAGAACCCATTAAAAAGTACATCTTAACCCCTTCATTCAAGTGCTCGGTTCATGTTTGCGCTTACCACTGGCTCACTGGTCTTCAGTTTGAGACCGGTAGTAATTAATTTGCCCTTTATGAATCACCAAGGACCACGGTTTCAGCTAAAAATATTTACTGTTCTACTGAAGAAAAAGCTCATCTACATCTTGGATGGCCTGAGGGTAGAGTAAATTAACAGCAAATTTTTATTTTTGGGTGAACTATCCCTTTAATACTAGCTGTTAAAGGTTCTGTATGTAAGTTTTTGACTTAACTAAAGCATAAAAATACCATAATATGTTTGCAGATGTTAAGAAACATGCTAAGTTAACATACTTGTTTATGCTACAATAATGCTACAGTCAGTTATTCTCCTTTGAAAATGTGCGTTCCGGGTAGGGATGGGCGGATCGATCCTCAAGTATCGATACTTTCGATACTGATGTTGTATCGAAAGGATTGATCCTCACATAAAAATATTGATTCTAAAGTGCATTTTTATAAACATTAATTTGATTTACTTATCAAGAAATTCGGGGCATAAAATAAGCTTCTAAGTGGAAAAATAGACTATATTAGCGAATAATTGTGTAGGATAGAACCATTTCTCCTGCTCATCGGGACACACGCAAATGCTGAAAGACAGAACCAATCAATCACAGACAGCGTTCTCTGCTGACGTATGGCTCACAGTGCTTGTTCAAATAGGGCTGCATTTCCCAAAAGCATCAGAAGCGTAAGTAGATCTTAAGAAACCATTGCCACATTATTACATTACATTACTATATATAAAATAAATTTTGAAAAATGCATCACAGTTTCCACACAAATATGAAGCAGCAATAATAATAATAAATGTTTCTTGAGCAGCAAATATTAGAATGATTTCTGAAGATTATGTGACACTGAAGACTGGAGTAATGATGCTGAAAATTCAGCTTCGATCACAGATGCATTTTAAATTACATTTTAA